CCGCGGGCCCAGCACCGCCTGCGGGCAGAGGGGTGTCGGCCGGGCCCGTCTGCCCCGTGCCGCGCCGCCTCCCCGGCACTGGGGCTCCCGTGCGGCCTTGTACTCACGATGAAGCTGGGACCCACGGACAGTTTTTGGCAGGATTCAGTCTGCTCCAGGCACAGTTCTGTGTCGGTGTGAGCCGGGTCAGCCAGGTCACAAACACCCCACCTGAAGTCAATCATCTGCAGAACAGTTCAAAGCAGAAACAATGGCCGTGGTAGGAGAATAACCCCGCGTCACATAGCAAGGCTGTGGGGGATAAGGCTGTCCCATCACCTGTGCTTACAAAAACCAAACTGAAACCACCCGGTCCCATGTCCGCCTCTCTTACTTGAGCAGCTAGAAATGGGAAAGAGATACAGAGGCACTTAAAGCCTCTCCCCATGAATATCTGTCAGGACATGTGGTGGGGAGTTTGAACTGTGGGCAGCTGGTAGGTGGCTCTGTTTGTTCAAGTCGGGGAAGCTTGATAATCTGGGAAGTCTTTGTTACAATATTGGGATCCTGCAGTTACAGGGAAAATAAGACTGAGCCCTGGCATTGCAGCAGCCTCTTCCATGCCAAAAGTTCTGCGCAGTGGGTATGGAAAAGCTCCTGCAATAATATCTGACCCTGGGCGGAAGAACAAAGCAGCCCTTTGTTAGAGAGAGTGATGAATATTTTACCAGCTAGGATCTGGGAGTGAGAGGATGAACTCAGTAGCAAGTAAACCCAAATCCTTAAGGATATTGAGCTGCCTGACTCCTCACTGACATCCACAGGAGTTAGGTGCCTAAATGCCTTCTTAAGCATATGGCCTGGAAAGCCAGTACAGCTCTATCCTGCTGCTTCTTAGGGAAGGCAAGAAATTCAGGGAGCATTTTTGGAGCGAAGGTCACTTTTCTCGTCCCATGTACTTGTATGACCTCTGGACAAGGCTGGAAAGGCTGTGAGATAATAAGCAGAGGCAACAGCAATGCTTTGTACTAAACAGAACAGACAGTTTACCTCAAACATTAGGCCGTGCTTCTGACAGAAGGCCTGCAGCTGGGGACAGGCCGCCTCCAGCAGCGCCTCGCTCTCTCTGCTCGTATCTGCATGGAAGGACGTGTGCAACAGCACCGTGAAGAACCGTTGGTGTAGTTGTTAACCAAGAAAGTCTTGCAGTTGGAAGCTTGTCTGACTGTGAACTACAGAGCTGGTCCGGTAAAAGACACCATCCTAAGAAATCCTTGCCTCTCATATGTTGCTAATCAACTCACTTGCCACCTTCACTTGTCAAATGAAATGCTTGTTGAGGCAAATGGTTAGTCTTTCAAGCAGCCCTCATCACAGAATTGTCGGCGTATTACTTCATCAGTTACAGGCAATCATAGTTGCAAGGTTCACTTCAAAATCATAAAGGCTAGAAGCATCACCGTGGATGGATTTCATGTTTTACGTGTGCAAGCTTTTGAAGGAAATCACTGAGCCCCCAAAATGTGTCTCTACCACCAGTACACTTCACAATACTCAAATTCCTGTCCTGCCTGGGACTCGTGAACTCACTTAGCTATCTTGGTGGAAAAGCCCATGAGGACTCCCTCTATAGATGTGGTGGCATTTGGGAAGCTTCCCTGGCCACTGCTCTTGCTGTAATTGGGATAAAGAGGGCGGAGTTCTCCAGCAGCACCTTTTTAACAGTGCCCTGTTCACTGAATTAATCCAAACACAGAAAGTAAAAATAAACTATTCAAAACCCTAAATAGAGCAAACAGGGAAATGATTAGCACATGCAAATATCCCCTATTTCCATAAACACAGAAAGGCAAGCTCACACTGAGAAACATGCACGCTGGGCTGCTTGTTCCCTCGTGTAAGTGCACACCCCCATGCTCATGCAAATACCCACCTACTTGTACGTCTGTCATGCTCACATCTTTTGAAAAAAAGGAGAAGGAAAGGGAATGTGTTCCCACCTGCCTATGCAGTATCTTCTTAGGCTGCAAACTTTGCAGAGCAAGGATTGTATCTCCCTGTGTCTAAATCTTAGTGTCATGTACCTCTGGCATAACATAAATCAAAGGAGGCATTGCTGGAATTGGGGGGAATAAGCAGGTCCTGCAGATTTCCTTTAGGACAACTCTGAATAAAGAAGTGATGGCTAATGAACCTGTAGCAATGTCAGAAGAGGAAAAGACTCCCTTGGGCTGGGAATGACGGTGCCTGTGCTGGTGTGCAACAGGGAGCAGACTCCCTCATGTATCCCTTGGAATAACTCGTTAGTACTCTGTGTCTCATGTAGTTACAGGGGAATCTCTTTATTGCTTTACCTGTGGGGCCCTTTCCACCAGAGGATTTGTGTAACTTGCTTCTGTCATTCTCGCTAGGTCTCAAGGCACTTGGAACCACCCTCCCTTCTGAAACCAAGTGCACCACAACTAAGGCACCTGTTGTAAATGCAGCTGTCGCCCTAAGCATTAGCGTCTGGAATACACTGGGACAGACCCAGCTGGTTGTCTCTGATTGCACTGTGTTCCTTCCCAAGAGCACTGCGTTGGCAGCCTCCTGGCTAACTGCCTACTTATTGATCCCATTGGGGAAAGTCTTGCCCTCCAGAGAGGCAGCAGTAGTGTTGCCATGCTGGCCCTTCTTGTCCTGTGCCTGTGTAGTGGACATATCAGGCTCTTTTCTTTGGATGCAGGGAAGTAAGAAATGCAGAAGTCTCTCTCCTTGTGGAAGTGGGAGGGAGGTCAAAGCCTGCTTTCTCCTGATGACATTTAAGGGGAGGGTGAGTGTTTTCTGGGCGGGGGGAGGTTATGCTATATGCTTCGCAATTCCTGAAATCCTGAATTAATCACCATCTATCAGTTTTTGAGAGCACTTCCTCTGGCAAGGGGATCTTGGCAGGTGGGAGATCTAGGGACAGCGCCTAAGAATGGATCTCTTCCTAAATGCTTTTCTCCAGGGCATTAGTTAAGAACCCAATTCAAGGAGTCTGTTGCATCCAGCCTCCCTAAAGGTACAGGGAAAGCTGCCAGCCCTGTTGGCCCCAGCACCAACCAGCAGCTTTTCCCACTGTCCTTTGATACACTATAATACGCTGGCGGCTAACCCTGGCTGCACTGGCAATGCCATTAGTCAGCTCCCGCCCTGAATGGGGACAGAGTCCTTTTCTCCCAGACAACACATAGCTGCCACTGATGGTAGCATCTAACTGCATCGAATGCATCAGCTGCAGCGGCCTTTACCTTTAACACAGACCTGTAGCCCACAGAGAGGATTATGGGCTTTTTCTGAAGAAGGCAGCCAGCCCCCTTCTTGTAAGACCTGAACTCAGTCTCTCGGTAATCCTATAGGATTCAAGATCTCCTTGAGCTTATTTACCTGAGGAATCTGAGCTGATGAAAATTCGGACCAGACTGGAGGGCTGGAAGGGAAGAGGGACTGTCTTGCCTTGGAGAAGGTCCTGGCGTGCATCTGGGCTGAGGCAGCTGAGGCTCATGGTGGTATCTTCACTCCTTGACTCCTTCCTTGTTGGAGTCTGTTCTTGAGAGGAATCTGTTCAGAGGCACTTCTGAGTGGATCAACCTCCTCTAAACTTTCGCCTTCAGGGGTCCTTGCATCGTCCTGTGTGACCAATGATTGCGAGGTTTTGTTCCTTCAGTTTTAAACAGGGATCAGTAAAACCCTCATCTATTCTGAAGGAGATCTGAGAAAAACCTGGAGCTTAGTGTCTGTGCTGAGCAGTGTAAAACTTGACTGTATCACAGAACAGATTAGCAATTCTCAAGATGATGACTATCCCTATAGCAACCAGTGTTTGTTCCTTGGTTACAATCCCAGGGGTCTCTTTCCAGGGCTCCAAAGGTGCCATCCTCCTTTATGCTTTCTGTAAGGAGATACACACCTGAGGCCCTTCTACTTATCAGCTTGGTCTATTTAGGAATATTTGCCACCATGTTCCAGCAGTGGGCAGATGGAATAGTGCTTGCAACACTTAAAATGGGCCCAGACAGGGTTCAGGCATCCTTCCTACCTGTTTAAACTAGATGTAATGACACATGGCTCATCTGCACTAGACTTTCATCAACCTGTAAGAGAGCAAAATTACTAAAATATCTTGATTTAAAAAATATTCCCGATAGATTTGCCGTGTGTATAGTGACCTCTGAAATCTGTGATGCATCTCTTCATCCATGGTGACAAGTACAAATACAGGACACAGAAGAAAGGCTGACAGAGAAACTTTAATATTGTACAAGAAACATCATCAGCACCATCCTGGGGCAAACAGTGACTTTCCCTGTTTACAAAGAAGTCTTTAATGTGCTAAGTGAGGCAACAGCTAATGATAAGACTCCAATGTCAGGAGCCTCTTGTCTTTTCACTGGGGGTATGGAATTATTTTGTACAGACGGATCTCTCCTTGTCCACGTGCTTGTCAGGCTGCAGAAGAACTTCTCACTCTCAGATGTACAATTCTACAGAACAGATGGTACAGCGAAGAGGAAAATGCCAGTGTCTCAAAGTTTCCTCAGCTGAAGGTAGCAGCAAACTTCAGGTCAAGCAATCACATTTGCAGTTACCAGCAGTTCTTTCCAGGCTATGGCAGCTTCACCAACTACAGACTTCAGATTATTTTGTAAAACTGCAAGGAAACGGAGAACAAACAACAAAACAAAAACAAAAAGTGGATCTGCTGATAAGTAGTGAGGAATACCTGTTGAAGTGAAATTAGAACAGCACTGTCTGGCCTCTGACAGGTGATGACAAAATACAGTCCTGAAAGTTTTGTTCCTCGATAAGACAATCCTGGTTGTAATTTGTGTAGTTAAAATGTTCAAGATGAAGATGAACACCAAACTCAGATACAAAACCTTCCAAGGCTATCCTAGCTAGTGGCCTCAACAGAAGGGGTTTTAAAGAGCTGGTACGTCATGGAAAATAGGGGAAATAACTGATTGGAAACGGTTATGTCTTTAGGGCAAATGTCTCCATTCCTGTCCCTGTTGTTACTGTAGGGAGTGTCACTTTTGAAAGGTTTCAGAACTTCCCTGATCCACTCCGATCCTCCCATTCAGGTAAGAATCCTCTGAGTGTTACTAAAGCAGCGCACTGTGAACTCACATGCAGGGATCTCTAGTGTAGGTGGAAAATAAGCAGCAGAAATTTTGGGAGAGAGACTGGTTTTGTGCAGGCGTTCCTTGTGATAAAAAAAATGGAAGGAGAGAGAGAGAGAGTGTTGTTTCCATCAGATGATGTTGGTGACGAGAGGCCTCTTAGCGTACTTATCTCTGTCTTGCGCACAGAATACACTCCACGGTATCTTTTCATTCACATGGGCATGAGTCATGGTCCTCTTTGGGGTATTCACAGCATTGTCAATACAGTTAGTTTTTTCTCTGTAGCCTAAGCGGTGTCAAAGACCACTTTGAGTTCATCCTAGGAGCAGGTCTTATTTCTCAGGGCATCTCCTCATGCTTTGCCGTTTCTGTATGATGAAGTTGATCTGGTAGATAAGCATCGTGGCCAGGGAAAAGACAAGAACCTGCAAGGGAAGAAGACATGAGGCTGGATTTACCAAGACCTGAAAGCAGACATCCATAAGGGGCATAAAGCTAGAGAGTGCTGTAGAAGAGGCCACAAAATTTGCTTCCAATTTGCCTAGCCAGGGACTGCATGTCACATTGGCTTACATGGGAGCTGCAAGGGCTCAGCCCACCTGAAACTGTGGCTACTTTGTTCAGGGGTCTGGATACTACTGTTAATATGCTCCTATATTATTATTTTTACTTGTGGATATAGATGTCTAATTTCTTATACCAAATGTAAAAACTGAGGATTTAGCTTAACCAAATCTATTCCAAAATGAATGTAGTAAAATCAGTGCAAGCCTTTAAATAATATACTTAAATCAGTTTAACTCTTGTTTATATCATTTGGTTCAACCAAGCTGATAACCTATGGAGGCAAGCTAAACTGATGTGTCAGTAGCTTACCAGTGAGAAAAAAATTGGATAAATCTGTCTAATTCTTGCTTCTAAGTTCAATATTTTTTCAGGAGTTTGTATTGGTTTAAACTAATTGACTTTTCTAGGCCTTACTTTTGTTCAGTCTCAGTTACCTCCAGGACAAACAATCCTATTGCTAGCCCTGCAACTAGCATCAAGTTTCTTTGTCCCCAGCTGACAATCTTCTCCAAGCAGCCCTCAGTATAAATCAGGCTCTCTGCTTTCCACAGTCTCAGATTCTGGGTCCCATAACCACACATGGTGTTGAGAACGCTCTGCAGGGAAGGAGGGTACAGCTAGAGTGAGAGTGGAACAGAAGTGGCACTCGATGAGGGGTGAAGGCACAGGTGATATGTCAAGGTAAAAACCAGAATGGTATAGTATGCTGCTTTGCTCTTGGTGTTCTTGTTAGCCACATCATAAACAGAAAGCATATCTACTGGTTAGAACAGGGAACGTGGGATCAAGAGACCTGGTTTCTATTTGCAGTTCTACCACAGACTTGCTGTGCATTCTTAGACAAGTCACTTCCCTTCTCTGTGCCTCGCTTTCCCTTTCTGTGCAGTGGAGACGATGGCAAACTGCTTTGATAGCTGGATCTGAGAGATCCTGTGTAAATTCAACGTATTACCTTCCTTCTCTTTGACTTGTTGGAAGCAAATACAACTACATGCTGAAGGTTGTTTTATCATCATCATTATCCAAAGAACTGGGCAGTTACATTTCCCACCCTAAGTTATAGCCAAACTTGACTTACTGTGAGAACTGTTCCTTTATCCTCTTGGGTGCAGCAGGAGAAAGGCACAGCACAGCGCTCCAGGCTGGGGTTGGAGTCTCGACACTCAAAGTAAATGTTCTGGGACCAGTCCTTGTAGGAATGCACTCCACAGCATTCAAACTGAGAGAGCAAGGCCAAAAATGGAGACCTTGGATAACTGTTGGCTTCCTCAGGGCCATAGGTGTACACAGGACTGTACAGAATAGAGTCTGAGAAGAGCTTTGAGAGCAGTTACCTGTAAGAGTCAGCTACCCAGGGACTCCTTACACTCCAGCTAAAGAGAGCTGTAGCCTTTTGAATGCAGCTCCCCCAACCTAGTCTGAGCAGGGCTCACCGATGAGCCACAGGTGCGTTTGACTAGCTCCCTCCATGTGTTCATGCAGAGAACCTGATACTAGCATTAGGAATTTGATTTGAATGTGGCTGAGAGGCAGCACCTCTGCTCTGATGCAAGTGAGGAACAAAGATGGAAGGTTTTCCCAAACTGGTCCAGGGTGAAATTTCACTATGTTCGTAGTTTCCTTGACAGTAATGCCAGCAGCAGCAGCTCTATGGCACTGAAAGCCACACCAAGACCATTTTTATTTCTAAGTTGTAAAGTGCAGAAAAAACAAAGTCCTGGCTGGGTAGCCCAGGAGGTGATGAAAGCTGGCTGCTGTGGTCCTGGCACTAGACTGCTTGTGTATTCAGGGGCAGAAGGCTGGCATTGGCAGCTCAGCACTGGCTAGGGACATGGACCTGGGGTCTCTTTAATTATTTAGCACCTTCTGAAATAATTAAGCAGCAAAACATGATACAAGACTAACAGGAGTTTTGAAATTACCTTTTTCTGTATATAGTCAATGAGATTCTGTAAGTCCAGGTCATCCCGATAACTGGAGATAGCTTTCCCCATAAGAAATGCTGCCTTCTCCATCACCTGCAAGACCAAGAGATGATGTAGTTTTCATTGCCAGCCAGGTAGATTCACTGACTTGCTGTTTTCCTCCCTCCACCTCCCCAACCCATCTGCTTCCTCTCTGGGCCCAAGATGCTTACACCTATGAAAACAACCCCTGGCAGGCACCTCTGAAAAAAGAGCTCTCACTTTCTCCATTTATTTACCATAAAATACAGATGGAGCAGGTTGATCTGTATCCTTTTTGGCAGGCAACGGATAAAATAAAGATTATTCTTTATTGTATAATTAGCTAGCACATTCCTAGCCACCCAGTTAGATAGGCATAGGAGATGCTAAGTCTTGTATGTAAGAGGACAAATTGAGGCTTGGATGCGGGAAAAGGGAGAGACTTGCCCATGGCTACAGAGAAAGTCTATGGGAGAGCCAGCAACAGGCTACAAAAATCACAGTTCTCTAGACCAGTGCTCAGATGACAAGGCAGAATATCTGCATTGAAGTTTGCTGTGGATTTACCATGCCGGAGAAGAGGAATCCCAGAACAGCAGCCACGATCTGGAGGATCAGTACAATTAGCAGTGTCCAGGCAAACTGTAGAATGAAAGATTGAGATCAAGACTGAGAGCAGCCCTCTCCCTTTGAGCTTTGGTACCAGAGCTCCCTGGGGCTGGGGGTGTTCTGCTGGTGCTGTAGAGTGCAGCTCACTGAGTGCGCGCTGCTTACACCTATGACTGGAGTGCCATCAAGACTCCCCCTGCCTCCAAGACTCCAGTGGAAGGAGCTGGCATCAAGGCCTGGCAGTGGCTCAGGAAGTCAACTCAAAGAACAGGATAGTAAATAAAGTTCATCTGAAAATCCAGCACAGCTACAGAGAATCCAAGGGCAAATTTACCCAGTGCTAATGATAAACATTAGGGGACCTGATCTGAGAGGAGGAAGCTTCTCTTTTGTATAGACGATCACATTAAATCTAATCAAAGGGGGCTTGCTGTTGTTTGCTATTTTAAAAAAAAGCCTTTCCAGCTACATGTTGGATTCTGTCAGACTAAAGAAGTTCCAACCTCTGTTCATCAGGCTTGTTTTTCTGTGTTCTCACCTGTAGCTTGCCTTGTGCCTTAGGGCCCCTCCTCTCCCCCAAGGTAACCTCACACCAGTACCTGGCACAATGTCACATTTGCCAACTCTTTGAGAAATGTGGACCCTGCAATTTGGAAGTAGTTGTGGAATATAATGGGTGAATATTATAAACGGCACTTTGGAACAAATAGGCCAAATGGAAAAATGTTGGTGCATGTGTGAGAAACAGGCAGTTCCATAGTCATCAAGGAGACTGAACTGGCGCAGCCAGCAGCTGTTCTTTGTTGGAAGTGGAGTTGTAGAGGTGATGTTGCCATTGCAACTCCTAATTGCTGAGAAGATTTTTGAATGATCAGAAATTAGCTAGCTTGTACATTGACTGTCTCCTCTCCTTGCTAGTTGTGCAGCTGGGGAGCTATTATTCCCTGACCAGAATTGGTGTTTTAGTGAAGGTGGAATGGGATTGCACTATGTTTGTTGTGGTCGCTTTGGCAGCAGGAGTTTGCCTAGTGAGGCAGTCTGAGGCACAGGCCTCAATGTCTGTGCCTGGTCAGCTAGAAGGAAACATCTGCTGGCTTTTCCTTACAATTTTCAGAAGCATAGGGAGGTCACGGAGGGCTCCCGTGCACCCAGCAAAAGTGATAGCAAACATGAGGATCCCCACAGTGAGCAGGATGAGCGAAGGGTCCACAAGGAGCGAGTCCACAGCACCTGGCAGAAAGTGAAACCAAAGCGAACTGAAAAATCCTGAGGCAAGTCTGGTCCACCCCTCCCCTACAAAAGACCAATGGTGGATATAGGACACATGGAAAAACTGGACCAGCTCCAACAACAGCCTCCTTGTTGCTGTTCCTTTCCCTATGATAAGCCCCAAGCCCGTTCTGGAAACCAAGTTCCTCCCCCACTCTTCAGTCACCCAGGGGAGTGTCCTCTCCTCACAGGGCCAAACGATCAAAGGTTTGCACCCCAGAGTTTGTATGTACAGTTTCTGAACAAGCTTGTCCCCTTGTGGTGGAAATCCTTCTGGGTAGAGGATGTGTTACCCTTGTGTCTCCTGCCTTCTTTCTGTGGCTCTTTCCTTTGACCCAATGATCCATAATGTGGGCTGGGATGCTCTGTGGCTGTGGTGTTTAGGAGGGGCTGAGCTGGATGTCCTGGTGGATCCTTTAAGGCAAGTATTTATTACGTTGTTGTGTGCAGTTGTAGGGGACTGGATGTGATGGTCTGAGAGTCCTGTATTCCTCTCGCTCACTCTATGCAAAAGCCAGAGCCACCACTCAGTAAGTATAAAGTAGTGCACTGGAGGGGAGGGGAGTCAGGTGCATCCTAAACCAGGACTTGATGGCAGATGCTGGCCTGTGGAGTCCAGTCTCCTGTGTTTGTGGGCCAGCATTTACCCAAGGACTTCCAAAAAGGCTGTAGAGGGTCATGGGTTGGTGAGAGGAGCTTTTCTCTTCCCTCACCTTAGGTTACTTTGCAGAAGTCTTGGGCATGGGGTAACCCCTGTTTAATCACGTGAAATGTTTGTTGAATGTTGCTGAAGGACCTGTTTGTGTCAGCTATGAGGTATGAGACAATTATGTGGTTGGTAGTAGTTGTGCTGGCTTTGCCCCACGTGTGGGGGTGACTTGAAGGAATTGCAGTGGAGGGTGACTACGAGAGCTGCTGGTCAGAGGTAATAACACAGAGCTCATCTCCATACGTTGTGCAGTCATTGCAGACCTCCCTGCAATTAGCCTCAAGTTACTGAGATAGACAAGTGCCAGGGTGCCAAGGGATCTGCAGAACCATGCCCTCTGCAGGATGCAGTGGGGTAAACCTCACCCTTTGGGAAGTCCTGCCCTTACCCAGTCATGCCTGCTCCCCTCTGGGTCAGCCATCGAGCAGACGGCTGGCAAGTGTCTGCGCAGTGTGTCTCCTTCAGACTTTGAATGGCTTTCTAAGGCGTTGCCTCCAGGTTCTGTCCAGATTCTCTCCTGACTGTGCCACAGAACAGGTAACTGTCTGCAGTCTTTATAGGTGTATTAGGTTTTAAGCTATTGTTAAGCTGAATCTCAATAACTAGGCCAGGATGAAAGTGAAGGCAGTTATAGTTTGGAGGCTGTGGTGTTGATGGGAGATGCCGGGTCCTGAGGCCATTCATGAGAGCATTGCATTGAGCAGACGGCTAGCCAGCATCTGTTCAGCCCTCCTATGCCTGATGCTCTGAGGAAGGGGTGGGGTTTCAGGTGGGATATGGCATGGCTCAACTGCCTCATGCTGAAGGCATGGTTGGGCAGATAGCCAGTGGAAGAAAAGCCAGCAGCTTCCTTAGCTTTACCTGATGAGATCCAGTTTTACTCAAACTCCAGCTGTGTAGCTCAGGGCGGGACAGGAAACTGGTACTTACTTGCCTCCTTGGAGAGTTTGGCATAAATCCCGACTGCTACCATAAGCCCACTGGCCACCTGGGAAAGAAGAATCAGAGACACGTTCCTCATAACAGTTTTGATATCAAAACTGCTAGTGGTACATCATTTCTAGGGAAATATGAGACATTAGTACAGCCCAAGGAGAGAAACAGGAATTGCAGTCTTCCTAAGGGAAGCTGGAGACCAAATTACTGATTTCAAAGCATCCAGAGCTCTAGTTTCCTTCTCAGATGGCCTCAGCCTTGCAGCAGGCCAGCCTGGCTTCTGACTGAGGCAGTGTTGAAGGTGAGTTTCCCCACAGGCAGGAAATTTGCAGCCCCACCCTGGACCTGGCAGGCCAAGTCTGCTTAGACTCACCCAGAAGAGGTAACAGGAGACAAACAGAGTGTATTTGATGAGCTGATTTGTTCTCATTGTTCACGTCCTGCAGTCCCTCGGGATTAGAGCAATCCTCTGTCAGCGGGAGAGTTGATTTCTTTGCTGACTCCTGCTGCCTGGGTCACATGCTCTAGGGCGTGTTACATGCACAAGGGAAGAAGATTTCCAACATGTACAGTCAGGTTTGCCACATTCCTGGTGTAAGTGACCTGCCTGTTTCCGTCCCTCCTGCTGCTGCCCTCAGACAGATGAACGAGGCAAGACAAGCTACTGACCTCAGGACCGTGAACACCTTGGAAGAAGGAGTCAAGGGCAAGCACGGCAGTTGGGTGAGGTATTCTTCTATTCAGATCACAGAGTAAAGGATCTTGGACTGAAACTGGCCCAGCTGCCAGTGAAGAGAAACTGGATTTGGAAAGGTTAGTTTCTGGAAGCTGGGAGTCCCTTGGGCAGAGCTCATTGCGAAGGCACCAGGCTCACTTTGGAAGTGGAATGAGTTATGGGCTTACAGCTGGAATGGGAACCCCACAAGAGCTGGCCCCTGCAGAAAGAGAGATGATTCAATAAGATTAGGCTCCAAACTGAACATGGTGAAAGGTGCCAGACAAGCTTCACGTCAACCACAACATGGGGTGGTACATGCAGCAGTCAGGTTGCTTTGACTTTGCTGTTCTAGCCTGTGCATCTCCAAAGAGACCTGACCATTACTGGGGCATTTACTGACCCCCAATGATGTGCCATGCATCCTTGCCTCCTTGTTGCTGACACTATTGCTGATCCCCATTCGGTATTTTTTGTACTTGCCTCTGCAGCTGATTTGGTTCATTCAGGAGCTTGTGAGTTCATGGCTTGTGGTAGAAGGTGAGAAGTTGGTGTTGGACAAGAGGGTTGGGATGGGGCACTCTCTCACGGGCTGGGCTGTGGATGCCCTCAAGGTACCAGGGAGATGTCTCCCATGCAGCTCCCATATTGTGTAGTTACTTACTGTGCTTCAGACCCTTTGCACCAGGCGGCGCCTTTGCATTGCGTCCTGCTATAGGATGAATGTTGATGTCTTGGATTTTACCATATTTACTCTATTAGAAGTCAAGGAACAATCCCCTCACCTTACAATGGAGCACAGGGTGGGAGGCAGCTGTATCCTGTAGTACCAAGGAGGCAGACTACCTAATCCATGTTTTATCTTGACCACTGGGATTCCCCACTCAGCTGGAATTCCCCATGGCATTACTATCTGGGCACAGTTTGAAAGAATACATGATCTGTACCCAGTAGGAGTAAAGGAAAATGGAAGACAAAAGCATTGGGCATTTTAGGTTTTTCTCTAATGTGATGGCTTTTGCCATTTCCCTTGTAAGCTTTTTGGTGTGGGAATTTTGGTTTTTTTTTTTTTTTTGTGCAGCTTCTCCTTCCTGCCTTGTGTGTGGGAGGGAAACCTCTGTGCATTTTCTACATAAATACTCTTAGGCCTCTTTAACATGCAAAATAGGGGGTTCACAGCTTTTATACCCCTGATCATAAGCTCATTCTGTAGTGGCAAAACCTGAAGACACTTGGAACTCTTTGGAATGGGAAAGAAAGAGATACTTGTCAGGCAAGAGAAAGTACTTAGAGCAGTGACTGTGAACTGCCTGAAAGGCTCTGCCAGCTCTAGTAGGCAGGATGCCTATATAGTACCAGGGTCACTTTGTCAGTTAAACCTAGGGTTACGATCATGCCAGCGTTGATATCAGCAGAGTTATCAGATTGTAACATCTCCTCTGTAGAACTCCAGGTTCCAGCAGGCTTCCTTCCACCCCTGCTCTGCTGCACAGATGCCAGAGCTGAGCTTGGTGATGCAGGAGTGGCTACAGCTCTCACCCTGCACAGCCTCACTCAGAGTAGTGGAGTTTTCTATCTTGGCAGCTGAACTCTGAAACTGCTCAGGACTGGAAAATGTCCCTTGCAGGCTTACAAAATGTGCTTTCCATGGGACATTTATTCTAGGTCTTGTAAAAAGATGAAAGGAGTACCAGTTATTGGCCAGTCTAGTGTTCCTTGTAAAGACAGTGAGCGCTTCAATATTTAGTCCTAGATGATAACACCAACTGCTGAAAAAACACTTGAGTAGAGTAGAAAAAGGCTGAAGCAGAAAAATCACACACCTAGGGGTCTCTCTCTTGTAGAGTTCATGTTGACAAATACACTTTCAATACATAATGACACACTGAAACAGAAATGTACCTGCTACTGTGTGTGCACGTCTGCCCGTCCTGGGGTGAAGTTGCAAAATATATAGAGGGAAAGAGAATTTCTAGTCCAGCACAGCTAGGGAAACTATTAAGCCTCCACAAAGTTATGTCTTCTCCCAACACCCCTCGTGACTAATTTAGACTAAACACAACAATGGCAGTTGGTGGTTACCATGAAATCTCGTTAAAGACCAGACCCTAGCTATGTTTCTGGACATGCTCAGCTTTGATTTACAGTAAATGTTAGTGTTGTTGGGCCAGGGGTCAAACTGGTTTAGGTACCTCCCAGAAGCCTTTTGTAACTGCAGCATTTCTGGCACTGGAGAAAGTAAAAAGAAAATGCATAGGTCCCTCCTGAGTGTCGCCTTGAGTCACTTCACAATTCTTTATTTTGCTGATGCCTGTTATAAAACACCACATTTCCTTGAATCAGACATTCCACAGAATATTAAACATATCCTGGTGCTGGTTGGAGGAACAGCAGGTTTCAGTAAAACAAGACCTATTAAAATAGAAAGCTGTCAGGCTTATTCCACTTTCCAAAGGAAGTGAGGGAAGGTCACAAAGTTAAGGCACTTTCAAAACCCAGAAGCACAATTAATTTGACTTCTATATTGGCTTTAGTCCTGTTGTACATAGGCATCAGTTTAGGGTTACATCTACCAGTCCCTTTCACAAAATCATGCTGGGCAACCAATTTGCACTTATTTCAGTAATCATATTGATTCAGTTTGGGAGCACGAGAAGAGTTGGATTTCTGAAACTCTCTGATTTATGCCTTGCCTCCAAATACCTCTTCCACTATCCTCAAGGTCAGAGTTGCAGCAATAAACCCTCCAGGTGAGGGTGACAAGATGCAGCTCACTGACAGCCCAACACTGTTCCCTAGGCGCCGCTTGGGGCAGAACACACCAGCCCTACCTACAGCAGCCACCCCAGCCTAGCTGGTCAGGAGGTTGAGATACATGAGTGGATCTTTGCATGACAGTGTCCAAAGCCACAGTTAAAAATAAGAAACAAGATACTCTATGCATAAGTATAGTCTGAAACCAGTTTAAACCCCTAACTGTTCACTGAGCAGGACATGGCAAAACTGGCTGAATCCTCAATTAGCCAAGCAAGGGCATTTTTTGTTTTACCTTCTGTTTCACTTGTCTACTTGATTAAGGCCCTTGTCATAGGCCAGTACAGTGGCCACGAGGTTGTCTTTTGAGGATTTGCAAAGAATTTTCAGATTTCCTCAGCTGGCATGCTCCAGTCAGGTTAATCTAAAATCCATCTCCTTGGTTTTTTAAAAATGTTAACTTAAGAGAAAAGTAAATCTTCCTTCCAGCAGAGAGAGAATTTAGGCCAGTTCCTAGTATACTATGAACATTTTATCACCAGCAAGGACGAGTGTGGAACTGGGCTCTTCTCAAATCCGCCCAGTTGTGTAAATACAAATTCACAGCTCCTTTTAAAAACCAGCTTTAGGGCCCAAGAGTTTGGTGCCCTGGCTATAATAAATAACAATAAATAACTTAACATTTACATAGTCTTATATCCCACAGGATTAGAAACAAACTTCAAGCTATAGGGGATTCACTTCACTTCCAAATGACATGCAGTCAGTGCCGGAGTGGGACACCAGTTGTTAGCAGTACACAGCAGCGCTATGTAGCAGTATGTAGCACTTAATACTTGACATCATTGAAGCTGTTACAAATACAGATCAAGATAAGGAAACTAAAGAGAGAGGTTATATACATTAAGAATGGTAAGGGAAATTTGGACGAGCAGGATGAAATACCCAAAGTGGAATTTGGCCAGGACACCAAGGCTGATGTCCTTTAATGCACACGGGACAAGCCATATCAGTCTGAGACCTTGCATTGTACTACCTTGTTGCCATCCTACCTACAGCAGTTGAGAAGCCCGAGCTCAGCTTCAGAGACAAGTGGTCAGTGCTAAAAAAAAAAAAAAAAAAAAATCTAATTTCCACATGATTGCTGCCTGTAGGCTGCCCAGGTTAGTTAAAACTTGAAGGAATTTGTAAGGCGTAAGAATACAAGTTAGCTCTTGAAAGAACGATGAGTGTGTGAGCAAGTGGGAGGCAGAGGTGTTAGAGTAACTGAACATGCTGCATCATGGTTGCTGACGGGATTGGAACTTATGCCCAAATGTCACCCTGGCACAAACATAAACCCTCTCTAAATAAGGGGCTCAGAAAAAGAGACGAGGCCACGAAGCTAACAGTGGGACTGAGTGCACAGTTGAAATTTAGGAACCTCTATGGTAGTCCTGGCTTCCACCCCTCTCCTCTGGAGTATCAGGGGGAAGAAATGAAAGATATGTGAGGTCACAGCTCTGAGGCGTTCTTTGCTGCCATGTTCACTGTGCACAACAGATTTTTCTTATTCAGCCTTTTTCGCTTTCCGTTTCCTCGTGCCTTCATTCAGCTCCTCCTTAGATTTTGCAGGAGGCTGAGGAGAGAGCGCAGGTGAAGCATCATGGGAACCCCCATGATGGTCGTGATGGTGATTGTCGTGCCCACCGGAAACAGAGCCAAAGAGAACTGGACAGATGAAGTCTTCGACTGGAGCAAATGGTGAAGCATGAGAATGAGTTGCTGTCATGAACACCTGCCATACAGCAATGAAGACAGGAAGTTACAGATCACACCTTTTAACAGCAAAATGACAAGGGGCCCACTCCTGTCCCTGTCCTTTGGTAAGTGGAATCAGTGTTGCTAAAGGGCTTGGGTCCTGTTGTACTTGGACCCCATTCCAAACCTCCTGATTCTCAAGCAAGCCAGCTCTAGTGGGAACAGCAAAGGCCTTCAGTAACAGTGAGGGGATTGCCAAAAACTCAGTCCAAGAGCTTGTCCTAGGATTTCTCGTGAAGGGTAGATAATGGAGTCTTTGCATTGCCATTTTACTTCCCTAGTGAATTATAACCTTGTTCTCGTTGATGATACCATATTCAACATTTCATTATTTTATGAAACTTTCACTTGCAACACACACTGAGCAAAACACAAACTGCATTTGAAAAACCTTGAATGTTAGGAACTGTTGCATTGGATGAAATCTGACTGAATTAAACAATATCCTGGAACTGAGAGTTTGATCAGCTCCCACAACCTGACTGTACTCCTGTGGTGATATCTTCCCCATCATCCTGACTTCAGATCCCTGTGGTAATATATCTCCTAAACTGACCTCACGTCCCCTGTTCATATATACCACTGCCTGCCTGATCCATGCCCCTGCGGGAATGTATATCCCTTCTTTCCCTCAGTTTTATGCATGCTTTAGCAGAAAATTTACTGTAAACTCACTTTGCAAACAATCATAAACATGGTGAAGAAGAAGATGAGGTTGGCCTTAGAGATGGGGAGCCAGTGAGTTTGTTGCAGGGTGAAGAAGATTGCTCCATACAGACTAGCTTTCGTTGGGCTAAAAAAGAAAGTGAGGAAGTCTTATTACATACAGCTGGTCAGGAAGAATTACACGAGGAACAAAGACACGCTGGTTGTGGGTAGCCCTGATTTCAGTGTGAGAGAATCTGCAGTGTAGCTACTTACAAGGACATATGCAGAATTTCATTTGTTTCTGGCTTCCAGATTCCACGCAGCAACTGCTCAAAGTTAGACATCAAGGCAACACCAGAACCTGTGAAACCATGGAAGCTGAGGCTGTGAAATGGTACTTCCATTAGAGTTCATTTCCAAAAGAACCAAGACAGTCCTAGGAACCAGGATTATGTTGATCAGAATAAAAAGGTCACGAGACCCATTTCTGATTGCAACGAGTCATCCTGGAACCAACAGCAGAGTAAAGCTCTGTAAGTATTGCCAGATGTAAGGACCACATCCTAACTGGTATGGCTTTAATGGCCCACAACCTTTCCTAGCCAACGCTTCAAGGAAAAGGGACCTAGGCCATCAGCCCTGGATAGAAACTCCCTGAAAAATGTACAGGTGAAAGCCGTGGGTGGCAGAGCACAGGAAGGGGAACAGAGAGCCCCTGACTGGATTCCCAGAATAACTCAAAGTGGAGCCTTAGGCAAGTCACCCTCCTCTCCACTTCAGTTTCCCTATTATTAAAATGGAAACAATGACAGTTACAAATGTTCAGTGAGGATTCATTAATTGTTGCATTTGGCTTCATAATAACCAGGAACCAATCAACTTCCTCCCTTTACCTCTACTGAGGGATACAAGGCAGTGCCTCTGCTGCAATCTCAAACTCTTCTGCTTCCATGCAGAGGCTGAACGCACCACATGTCTGCTTCACCATCATGGGATTTACCTTTGACCCATCCAGTAGCTACCATAATGAACCAACCATCGTGGTAATGGTGATGAGCATGGTGGACTCCAACAGCAATTTTACGAACTCTGACCACCTCCTTCATTGCCACAAAGATAAGCTTCACAGGGAGAAAGCTCACACACTTGTAAAAAAGGTTCATGGGGCAGTAAAATATCAAATACCTGGAACAAAAACACAAAAAGTTCAGAGGCATACCTGTTTGCCCTGGTCTGGAGTAAAGGACAGGCTAGCAGCAGTAGTCTGCACAGGGCACCAAAATTCCCCTTTCTTACTGAGAAACTAAACTTTTGGGTCACTATTGCTGAATTTTGCAGACATTCTAATATTACAGTCTTCAAAAATTGCCTCTAAAATTCCACTGAAGTGCTTGTGCTTCCTTTCAGTGCACTCCATGCTGCCTCAAAGACTGCTTGTGCCCAGGGCCAGCGAAAGGTTTACCTTTTTGTGGGGGGGGGGGGGGGGGGGGGG